TTTTCTCACTGCATGAAATCTTTAGCTGAGAGCAATTTCTAGAAAGGAACTGAGCAGTGAACTGCCAGTTGCCAATACTGGTAGAGGGGACCAGCTGAGTGGCTCAATTGGTTAAGAGTTGGCTTAAGAGCGCAAGCTCTGAGCAACAGGGTCGCCGGTTCAATTCTCACATGGGCCAGTGACGCTGTACCGGAGCTGAGCTGTCACTGAGTTGCAAACAGGTGGCAGGATGGCTCAGCAGGTGTAACAAGATTGCCTGTTGGATGGTGGGCTATGCCCACCCGCAACTAAGACTGAACTCGGCACTTTGAGCTGAGCTGCCACCCGGATGCTCAGTGGGTAGTGTGCACTCTTAACAACAAAGCTGCTTGTTCGACTCCCGCATGAGATGGTGGCTACACCCACCCGCAACTAAGACTGAACTCAGCACCTTGAGCTGAGCTGCTTCCTGGATGGCTCAGTGGATAGAGCATGTGCTCTTTACAAGGCTGCTGGTTCAACTCCCGCATGGGAGATGGTAGCTACGCCCACCATTGTAACACAGCACCTTGAGCTTAGAGGCCACGAGCTGCCGACGGGAAGCCAGATGGCAACTGGTGCCCTCCACAACGAAGACTGAAGAAAAACTTGGCTGGTTCCCTTCCCCAATTCCCCAACACTGTTGCCCTCCCCGAATTCCCCAATGAAATATTAAAAAAAATATATATTGGTAGTGGAATCAATGTGTTAGTCCTGGGGGCAAAGGTTGAGGGGGAAATTAAAATCTAAATTTAGCATCCACCACCATCTTAACCACTTCCCCATCTCCCTCCATTTTCAGCACCTCCACCTAAATGGAGATTCTTGAAATTTCTAGAGTATTATTATCGTGAACACATTTCCTTTAAATATTTAATGTGATTGCACAGGCATTATGACCATATTAACCGAACAGACCCTAATTTCTGACATCTAGGTTGTTTCTACAAACTTTGTATATGGCTACATTTTGAAAAACTTTGGATAAAAATACATTGACAGATCATCCTCTCTAGTAACTATTTTCAAGGCTACCAGTTTTTAATTGGTGTATTTATGTCCATAAAGCCCCATCAGCATTGGTTTCATTATTCCTTATTTTACAGGCTTTGACTCCCCATCAGGGCTAGTTGGGAAAAACGGTTGAGTGCGAGATACCATGAATTTGCTTGGAGCACCAGGGTCAAGGGACATCAAAGGGTTAATGGAGGCTTTTCTAACATCCAGGGTTCATCTCCTAATCCCTTCCTACTAAAATGCTGACGCTGAAGCCAAAAGAAGCAAACATGCTATCAGGATGGGGAAATAATTCTTGAGCTGTAAATAAAATGGGCACGGAAATAACTGAATCCCCGAGATTTAGATAGGGATAAAGGGGAGACTTCTTTAGAAAACAAGGTTTAGCTGAGAGACAGCATAGTTGTTAAGACAATAAGCAGGCTTTGAAATCTGTGCTCTCTTCTTCTACTTGTGCAACCATGGGCAGTTACTTTAGACATTTGTCTGAAATGCTTGGGGGCCTCTTTCAAGTCCTAAGGTTCAGGTACTAAACTCTCCAAAGACAGGATAAAGACAAACATTATATGACTACCTCAATGCATGGGAGGAGGGGGAACATCTGACAAAATTCAACACCCATTCATGAGAAAAACAGCAAACTATAAACAGAATGAAACAACGTAAAAAGCATCTATCTAGGTATCTACATACAATCAACAGCAAACATTCCTGATGGAATACTGCATGTTTTCTTCCTAAAATTGGAACAAGGAATATGGCCTTAATACAGGACTAGAACAAGACTGAGGCAAGCCAAGCCCCTAGGGAGCAAAATGTAAGGATGCACTCAGAATGCTTACATCACCCACTGAGTCCTTGAATTTTGCTTCCTTCACCTTGGTCACAGCCTGCTCTTTTCATTACACAACATGCATTAGAGGTGCTGGCCAGTGTAATAAGCAAAAAAAAAAAAAAAATTAGCAAGGTCCCATGATACAAAATGAAAAAATACTAAATTATCTATGGGGCCAGCCTAGTGGCGTATTGGTTGAATTGGATTGGGACACCAGCTCTGAGCAGCAGGGCCCAGGTTCGAAACCCACATAGAGGGCCAGTGACGCTGCACCCTCTACAGCTAAGATGGTGAACAACAGCTCGACCTGGAGCAGCAGTGTTGTGAGTCGCCACCAATGGTGTAGGCTGCAGTGGGGCTGGTCGGCAGCTGGCCTGCGCTTTCATGAGCTGCCATCCAATGGTAGGTGAGCGACTGCCTCACCCAGGAAGAGCGCAATGGTGGTGCCAACTTGGGCCAGTGAAGCAACGTCCTCCACAACTAGACTGAAGAACAAAATGACAGCAACTTGTCTGTTCTCCCCTTCCCTGATTCCTCAATGCTGTTACCCTCCCACAATAAGATCTTAAAAAAAAGTTACCTATGAACTAGCAACTGGAAAAAGAAATTCCACTGACATTAGCACCAAGAAACCTAAAATAATTAAAAATCGTACAAGACAAAGTGTCACACAAAATAGTGCTGAGTAAAAATTACGTATCAGAGAACTGAGGATTAATACTACACACTCAGAAGCCACAAAAATACTTATACGCAATTGTTCACAACAGCTTTATTCATATTTTCCAAAAACTGGAAACCAATGTTCATCTATAGAATGGATAAACTTGTGGTCCATTCATACAATGGAATACTACTCAGCAATAACACATGGTTCAACCTCTCAAAAATTTTATACTAAGTGAAAGCACTGTATAAGAATATATACTATGTGATTCAATTTATATAAAGTTGCAGAGGGGGCAATAAAACCCTAGGCTGTGATGGAAATTGAGAGTGGTTACCTTGGGGGGTTGGGTAGAATGCTTGTTACCTAGGTAGGGATATGAGTAAACCTTTTGCCCTGAGATGTCTGTGGGCTAAGTATGTCCATTTTCCAAAATTGTAGTTAATATTCGATTTATATAAATTGAATTTCAATTTATATAAAACTGAAATGTAATTTAAATAAATCTTACCTAAAATAAAATTTTCAACTTATATAAATCTCACCTAAAAGATGTGTGTGTAGTGAATAGATGGATATACCAGAACAGAATTGAGAATTGTTAAAGCCAGGATATGAAGGTCCAATGTACAATTTTACTTTGTATGTTTGAAAATTCTCCAGTTAAATATTTAATTACAAATCTCCATCTATTTTCTGGGTTTTAAGCTCATGTACTCAATAGCCGATTGGGCAACCCCTGACACTTTCCAATAGTTTTCATCAGAGTCCCCTGTAACCTATAACCCTGCCTCAATTTCACCCTAGACTTCTGGTTTGAGCATTCAGGAAAATGGGTTGCAGGAAGTAGTTGAGTTGTTTTGGGGTAAGAATCTGAACATGTGTCATTTTGTAAAGGACTAAACAAAGCAGACCCTAAGAAGGAACAATGGGAAGTGGGAAGAAAACGAAAAGTAAAACAAACTAATGGAAAAGTTTTAAAAGAAGTAATCAATAGTAGGAATTCCTGCAGAGAATTCAGTTACCAAGTCTCTGACAGGAACAGAAGGGTGAATGAGAATGCAAAGTTTAAAGGTATGGAGCCAGCAATTGGTGACAGTGATCTAGCTAGGACAATAAAAGTCCTTTATTTTTCATACTGCAATTACATTTACCATTTATGTGCCTGAATCTGATCAATTAACATAATGACTGCTCATTAGTTTCCTTAAAACTCACTTACCTGTTCCCATAAAAGAGCCTTATAAAGTAGGTACTGCACACAAACATAACCTCTTGCCTTTCCCGGACCAACCCTTTTCTGTCTTTACTCAAATTTTGGAAAATATTCTCTAATAAGCTTATTCTAAAGTTTAAATATACATTTTTATAAGGTTCAGATTTTTAGCTTATTGTAGACATGACTGAAGAACAGAAATGTTGCCAAAATGATCATGAGATATGTACTTGCATGGCAAAATGATCAAGCTTATCATTATGTTCTAGTTAAACAGAAATAACCATGCTTGTATTTTTTTTTTCTTTTTTTTAGCTGAGCCATCCTGCTACCTATTGGTAGCTTAGCGGCTGCTCAGCTCGGGCTGGCATCGAACCGCTGTTGCTCAGAGCTCAAACTCTTGAGCGAGCTCTTAACCAACTGAGCCACTCGGCCGGCCCTCAAACAGAAATAACCATGAATAAAATAAAGGAAGTTTCACAGGTTGTTCCTCTCCACCCTTTGAGCCTGTTCCATAAAATAAAGGTTGGAACATTCCACCTTCAACCCTTACACTTTCTCTAATACCAAACTCACAAGTACACATTCTTATTCTTACTACTTACCTTTTCTACTCTTTGATATCCTGGTATATAGCCCAGATATTTCTTTTGAGCTTCAGTTATAAAGCCACTAATAAAAATGTTTAAATGTGAATACAAATTACTTTCCCAGTAGTTTAAAGGTCTTTTGTTGGGCTGGCCAAGTGGCGTGTTGGTTATGAGCTGGCTTGTGATGCCAGCTCTGAGCAGCAGGGCCCCCGTTCAAATACCACATGAGGACCGGTGACACTGCCCTCTAGAGCTAAGATGGTGAACAGCCTGACCTGGAGCTGGGCTGCCATGAGTCGCTGGCAACAGCGTACGCTGCAGCCCCTGCTGCAGTGGGCTGCCGTAACCTGCAGCAGGTGACTGATCTGCCTCACCTGGGAAGAACTCAATGATAATGCAACATAAGGCCAGTGAAGCGATGTCCTCCACAACTAGACTGAAGAACAAAAGGACAGCAACTGTCTGTTCCCCTTCCCCCAATTCCCCAGCGCTGTTCCCCTCCAATTCCCCAATAAAATCTTAAAAAAAAGAGATTTTGTCTTCGTAACTCACAAATCTTATAATCATTAAATGTAGATTTAATTATAGAAACCAGAGCTCTAATATTTGGTCATGTGTGCTATTTAAAAAATACATCAACAAAAAGCTTTCTGAATGTCACTAGACAATCAATTAAGGAACTTTTATTGAAGCTTAAGTTGTACAGAAATACATTTCAACCGATTGAAGTCCAACACCACGAAGAGAGAAATTATGGCACCAAAATTTTCCCTCCTCTATAATACACACTAGGATTAATTTAAATTACTATTCAATCTACATTTCCTAGGCTTTGTTTCATACAAATTTTTGCCATTTTTCAACATTAGATAGAAATCTTAAATCTATTAGGAAAAAAAAAAATCAGACCTCAAGCCAACAAATGTCATCAAATCTGCTGGGACACTGTTCAAGAACGAAAACCACTTTGAGCATTGGTCCTCAAAACAGCACCGAAAATTAGGTACTGTGTGCTAATTACAGAATCAAACTGATCCACTGATTGAAAGCTTCTTCAATGAAACTTTGAATCAAGTACATGCTTAAAATAAAAAGTCAAAAGTGTTCCAACCACTTGATTCCAAACCAAGTAGATTTTGTTTAGAAACACATTTAAAAAAAAGTGTTTCGTTTATAAATACGGAAGGAACGAAAACATCACTGCATCAATCCAGAAAGAATCAAAAATATTTTGAGGACAAGAATACAAAATTTAGTCAACTTTGCTGTTTTCTAGGCTGTTTAAATCTCACAGTATTTGCAAATATAGCTAAAAGATGCCAACTCTTGAAAGCCTGCATTTCCCATTGACCATTTTGGAGTTTTGTATGTTATGTTTTATGGATAGCATTCGGTTTCACTGTGTGTCTGAATAACCTGAACAGTTCTCATTCTGGACAGTCATTCACTTGATCCTGCGAAACCAAGGTGAAAGAAACACCACCACTAAGAGAAACAGATAAAGTCAGAACACTATCACAAGATGGCGAAGACACTAATTCCACTTTGAACTAAAGTTTATGGTATATTAATGGAAATTAGTGGAAATGGCTGCTAAAGTAAAAATTAATGTGAATGATCTAAGCTGACTTATTGACTACTACAACCTTTACCTGCAATCTTCTTGCTAATAAAGTTAGTGGTAACAATTTTATACTACTACTTAGCAAGTTAGTAAAGACAAGGTACTTGTGAGAAGCTAATTTTATTTACTGAGGAGCACATAATGGCATACAGTTCCCATACAATTCTGCCAGTATATCCTAATATGAATCTGTGTATTCCTTGCTAATCAACACTAGATGTTTATTTTTGTCAATATCTTCCAAGAGCCAATGTCAATAAAAAAGCCAAACTCCCTTGACCTTAAAATTAAGACTAGGGTCCACCCTTCTCCCATCTCTGGGGTATAAGATTAGTATAAACCCACAGTGTAACAGTGTATTGCTTTATTGGGGGTAGGGGGCTGGGAGGGGAGACACCAAGGTGAGGAACGAAACAAAGGAATATAAGTACAGGAAGCAACGTTAAAACAGTAATACATAAAACAGATAACTACAATCTTTAAGAGGACTTGACTCATGGAAGAAAAACTTTTAATTGCTGTTGCAAAAAACATCTGTATGAAGTAGAAATTGGTTTCAATAACATTAGTAGAGAATACATTAAAAAAATTGGAGGTAACTGGATGTAATATCCTGGCAGCAATTTAATAATAGAACAGTCCCAATGGTTAGGCTGAGGCCAACACCTAAGGAGGACGAAAGCCTTGTCTGTGGGGAATTTTGGGTGATACCTGGAGAAATATTACACTGTGCATAAACCAAATTGAATTGTCACAAGGGTTGTAAAGTTTCATATAGTAAAAGTTTTTTTCTACATGCATTTCAATTTCACAGCAAGAGTGGCATAGAATACCTAAACACAGAAGACAGCATTCATGCAAAATATCTAACTCCTTGATATAATAATGCATACAATTCAAAATGATTACACTATCAATACATCTAGGGCTTTCTGCAACTACAAGGTGGTGGTTATGGAAAACATGGCCCCTGGTATCAATATCTAAAAAGCAGCCACCACCTTCTTCTATGTGTGTTCTCTTTTTGCGTTTTTTCTTCATTTTTCTTAATCAACTCTGCTGTTGTTGCTGCTTCTTAGCAAAACTGGTAAAAACAAAGTTGTAATCATTGAACATAGCACTCTGGCAATCAAGACGTTTAAAACCTTCAATCTTCTGGGGTGAAGAAAGCACTGTGCGACATTTAGAACTCTGGGCAAAAAAATTATATAAACTGTTAGTACTTCCAATCTGCAGAAGTTTGGCAAACAAAATAGTCATGCCATAAATATTTAAGACTACTATCTTATAAACTGTGGCATTTGAATATTTTAGCTGCTTTGTTATGGGCTGGATGGAGTGTGACATCTTATGTCTCCCAGCCCCCACCCTGACCACATGTCTGTCCACAGGGAAAATAAACAGGATAGGAGGAGCCCATCAATTAGGCTACATATATTTGTAAAACAAGATCAACAGAAGTCTAGTGAAATACATAAAGCTTCTCATCCCAATAACCTCAACTAGTCATGCCGCTGGATATCTGACTGATATGTGCTTAAGAAGACATTTTATAACATGCCTCACTAGCCTTATTTCCTGAAAGATTTTATTGTCAGTAAAAGAAATTACCTGATTTACAAACAAGGTGGTCACAAATTTTCCTGGCTTGAAGACTTCCACAACTTTCCTGATCAAGTCATCATAGGAGGTCTGACTTAAGTTTGTTTCAAAGCTAACATAAGAAAATTCTGGTTCTGGAGTGATGTGAATAGTCCAATAAGTTCCCTAGAGAAATAGCTTTGTGTTAAAAATGGAAAGGATACACTTAAATATTTAAGTAGTAAGCAAAATATTACTTACATCCGATTTCATGCCATTCATCGAATACCCACAAGGATTGAACATTGTGGCATCAATGACAGAACCTGGTATCAGGTCACGAATTCCACTCTCCTGAAAAAAAAAGAAAAAGACTGAATTAAATACAAATTGGAAACAAACAAACAAAAAACTGAGAATGAGTTACAATAAACAGAAGGTGCCAAAAAAAATGTATACGCATTTTAAGAAAAGAAAAAACTATTAAAATTATGCTGATGGTAACCACCACTTTGAGCACCTCTTGTAATAACAGAAATCAAATGTGACTTGTATTCATCTTTTGTTATCAGTATATATTGAGTATTACAATTTCATTTATTATTATTTTTTAAAAGATTTTATTGGGGAATTGGGGGAGGGAACAGCATTGGGGAATTGGGGAAAGGGAACAGATAAGTTGCTGTCCTCTTGTTCTTCAGTCTAGTTGTGGAGGACGTCGCTTCAATGGCCCATGTTGGTATTATCATTGCGCTCTTCCCGAGTGAAGCAGTTGCTCGCCGGCCACTGGACGGCCACTCACGGTAGCTCATGGCAGCCCACTGCAGCCTATGCCATTGCCGGCAACTCACAGCAGCCCAGCTCCAGGTCTAGCTGTTGTTCACCATCCTTAGCTGTAGAGGGTGCAGCGTCACTGGCCCATGTGGGATACAAATTGGCGGCCCTGCTGCTTAGAGCTCGTGCTCCCAAGCCAATTCTTAACCAACGAGCCACTCGGCTGGCCCCGAGTATTAAAATTTTAATACAGGTTTTTTTTTTCCTTAAAACGTGCATACATTTTTTTGGCACCCTCTGTGTTTTATTCCCCAGCCAGAATCCAGAATTATTGAAATGCTTACACGAGTGACATCCTTTGCAGTAACACCATCTTTCATGTAGAACTGGTCCATAACTGCTGGGTCAAGCTCACTCATCAGAATTTCCAGGGTTTGATCTGGCTGACTGATTACTCTACTCTCTGGGAAATCCAAAGTATATAAGTACCTATATAAATTAAATAAAAAATCATTTCTAAAAATAACAATTGGCAGTTAAAGGTAAATTTTATACAGAAGAAAAAAAATCCATGAAATTGTGTCCAACATACCAACAGTCAGAATTCATACGTCCCATACAATATGCTGCTCCATCTGTTGAGGGAGGAGAATGTAAAATAAATGCAACAGATCCATTTGATTAGGGTGGTTTTTTCTCACCCTTCCAAAAGCTAGGATGATACTACTTGCCTCCTATCAGAAATATCAGTGAAGGGAAATTTAAGTAAGTGGGTGAATTCACAAGTAGGCAGGATCCCCCCCTGCCCCCCATCACCCTTAAAAATCAGCCAGTGAGTCAGTCTAACTAAGGCTCATTCTCCGATAAAACTCCATTAGGTAATGGAATTGGGTCACCCATTTATTTACTCTACCAAGTAAATACAAGTCGTTTTACTCAATACTTCCTTTCCACATTGTTTCAAAGCCTCACTCCACATAGTAAATTAACAACTGGTAGATATTTACACTAAATTATACTCAGCACTCTGATATAGCTCGGTATCATTTCATACTAACAGGTAAGTTAAAGATAGAATAGAAATCTGATTTTCTTTTTAAATCATGCCTACGACTTCGTCAAGTTATTAAAATCATCCTAAATTTTTAGCCTTATTTTGGATATAAGGATGTTAGATTAGATAACCTTTAGTTCCCTGACCTTGAAGCTCAAAAAGGAAGGTCTATAAATAAAAGCTTAGTAAATGGAAGAGAATCTTGCCAATTTTGTTGAAGTCACACTATGACCTCACTGTGCTGGTCATCTATAAGTTAGCTCAATTCCTGTACAGAATGCCGGACTAGCATCTTAGCACAGGGTTATGAAGTCACTAGGAATTTTTCTGTATAAAGGTGATTACAACTTTCACAATCACTAAGTTAGATATAAATCAGAGCAAGTGGCTAGATGAACTCTCCCTCTAGCACAGCGGTTCTCAACCTGTGGGTCGCGACCCCTTTGGGGGTTGAACGACCCTTTCACAGGGGTCGCTGGGTACTCGTATGTGGGCGTATCTGCATGTGGGCCTGGAGATGGATAGAGGAGCGGTATCTTGGTTCCTAAGACCATCGAAAATATGTTTTCCGATGGTTTTAGGCGACCCCTGTGAAAGGCTGAGAACCGCTGCTCTAGCAGGTGACCAATTCCTTGACCTTCCTTTTCCATCATTTCAACACTGATCCAAGGTACACACACATACTCTGAAATTTACCATCAGTTATACTGACACAATTATCTTAATTATATAACGTGCTAGCTACATTTGCATACATGATTTCATATATGTAAAAAAACTTTTAACATATATACTAACTTCAATAAGATAAGTTTCAATTTTATTTATTTAAACTTACTTGGGAAAATTGCATTAAGAAACTCTATTTCTTCCTGGAAATTCCGGTGTGGGTACCCTTGGTGAGAAGGCTTCATGAAATTCTTACGAGAATAAAAGAAGCTCTAAAAAAAGATAGATAACTTCATATATAGAACCTAAACCAATCAGTCATTTTCTACTAATCAGTTATTTTCTACATATACACATCAAAATCAGAGCTTTATTTCTACAATTATGTTCCTCAATGACATTTAACATAATGTTTTTCCTTTAATATGCTTAATGGATATGCAGTCTTGCTGGCTGACAAAAATGAAAGCCACTGTCAGAGAGCAAGGTTTCAGACCAATATCCATGAATCAGTGTCATATAGAGCAACTTTGTTTTTTAAACTGTGGAGAAGAGTCTCAACAGAACATTAATAATGTAAAGTAAGTCAATTGAGTTTTTAGAAACTAAAAAAAGTGCCCAATCTACTGATGATGGGTCACAACTGTAGAGACAAGATATAGTATTTCTAGAGCAATGGTTTCTAATGAGTTTTTAAGTAGGCATGCAAGAAAAATTCTGTGGGAGAACATGTTGTGTACATTAAATTTCAAGAGTCAGCGATTCAAAAATTAAGAACATATTGCTTTAGATTCCTTATAAGGATCAATAATTAACAAAAAACTTTTGTTTTAGGTCCTAGTAACAAGATATCCTTTACCTTAATCAATTGAAATATTAAAACCCAACCATCTACTCATCAGAACAGTTATGCCCTAAGTACAAACACCTTAATTCTTTAATGTTACCAGAATTTAATTCAATGCTGATTGATGCTCTTTTACATAATTGACTATTCCTTATGAAGACTGGATCATGTTTTTTTGCTTTCCCTTCTTAGTTTCTCTACCATTCATATTAACATATCAATGAGTTAACTATTGAACACATCTGGTTTCTTCATTTCTTTTTCCCTTTTGGGTTTTATCCCAACTCAATCTCGCTTAGATTAGTCCACATTCTGCTGTTCTTGAACATCAGGTAGAACATTCTTTCTCCCATGGTGTGCCCGTCCTTAGCCATTAAACCGAAGCAGTGAATATACAATTTATAAATTTATTCAAAACGCTAATGTTTATGCCTTATTAAAAAAAGGATTAAATAATGTTTTTTGATTACTTACTTGAATTGAGTCAAACCCACTGTAATCCCTAGCAAGTTTCAACAGGGGAACCAGTGCTTTCAGCAAGAGGGTGGTACCACATGTCTTCAAAATGAAACGTCTCTTGGAGACAAACATGCTACTCTCACTGCAGTTCAAAAAAGACACAATATTATAATGCTGTTTATGTATTACTGAGATGCAATTAATCTATTATTGGAGTATCATTTACAATGTAAATTTCTGGCTGGTAATTTTAAATGTTAAGACTCAAGGAAGCGAATAATTCATTACAGTATTTTTCCTCTTCTAGTATACAAAATCAGTTCTAGAACCCACAGAAACAGGCCTTGAATTAGGTATAAAGCACATTAGCTCACTACATAAACCCTTTTACTAATGTGTACTCCTCATGTCACCTACCCTAGGACATTTATTAAATTCATACTTTACCTCACCTTGCAACACCCACCCACTCTCAAATGTATTTCTGCAGCCATCTCATTACTTCTTACACTAGACAATAACCTCCATGAGAAAGGAATGTTTGCTTTTACTCACCATTGTATCCCTAGGGCCTGGCACATAAGCATGTGATAAATATCCGTATAGGGCAAACCCAAGCTTAAAAAGAAGCAGGTACCTTAGGGACCTTGTTCAATATACAGGCCCATTATAATAAGAACTCAATGTATTTACTGAATAAATTAACTTTGTACCTATAAAATGGTTGAATGGCTTTTTTCTGTTGTACACGGCAATCCTATTTGTATGGTGGAGCTAATTTTCACTTTGCCTGGAGTTCTGATATAAAGAGGCATATACTAAAAAGGAAGGCCTGGGGTTGAAGTTAAAGGTACAATGCCATTCTATCCTTTTTTACAGATGCTTCCTGCTAACTACAAGGAGGTAAAGATGGCGACCACCTTTAAAGAGCTTTTAAGTAAGACTTTAATACCTACTGCCTGGGGGGGCCGGGCCAAGCCAAGTGGCTCATTTGGTTAAGAGCTCACTCAAGAATGCGAGCTCTGAGCAACAGGGTTGCTGGTTTGATTCCTGGCCCTAGCTGAGCTGCCGCTGAGCTGCCAACAGGTGGCAGGATGGCTCAGCTAAAAACAAAGAAACAAACAAAAAACCCTCCAAAAACCTACTGCCTGGGGACACCTGAAAGCAAACATTTTATTTCACACCGTATTTAAAAAGATGGTAGAAATGAATATAGAACTAAGGTCCAGAGGAACAATTTGCTGTTCTATATATAATATGATTCAGGCTGAAATCGGTTAGCTAACACTTGTTTTACAGGACTTACCTGAGTACATAAGCTTCCTGCTTGTCAGTTTTTGTCACACTTATGATTGAACATTGCACATCCTTCAAAAGTATATCCCACTCGGATCTATTATTTAACAAAAAAGGATGATTAATTCATAACAGTACTTGCCTACTATCATAAAAATCATAAAAATCACTAAGTTCTCACACTTAAAGAAGCAAACTGGAAAACTAGAAATTATACTACTTGCAATTTACTAAAAGACAAGTAGACAAAATGTGAATAGTCATGTACAAGAGGAAATTCAACAGGCTTATAAACCAAGAAAAATCATTATCTCTCAACTAGTTAAGTGATTAAAGAAAGGCAAGTTAAAATGAGATATTTTTCTTGCTATCAAATTCTGAGATTTTAATCTTACTATGTGAATTACAATTTAAAACGCTTAATTTCTTTCACTAATTAGACTGGCAATGAGGTTTAAAAGCCTGAGAGTGTAATCTGGTACTCACACTGTTTAGATACTATTTTTTGCTATCAAGTTGGCAGCTAAGCACAATACCGAGTGGTGTCTAAAAGTCGAAAAGCACAGTAAAAAAAAAAAAAGAAAGAAAGAAAACTGCCTTTGGCTGGCAATTCCACAGCATACCCATAAGATCTTGGGAATACAGTGAAGCTCTTGAATGATGGAATATCTATTTCAACGAAGTGAAAAGTCTGTAGTACACGTAATAGATAACAAAATGAAAGTTATATGGGCATAACTAAGTAAATTAGTCTAAATATACCTGCTTCAGACCTAAGGAAGTGCTTCCTCTTTAGTGTGCCCATTATAAATAGAAAGACAACATAAAATAGTTCCACAGGGCAGCTTAAAGTTATCAGATTTAAGGCTAAAAATGTTTTAAAGCTCTTAATATTTGGCAGGTCATTCTTCTATCCCCAAGAAAAGGATATATTATGGTTCAAGTTTTCTTTCCCCAGTTAAGACCTTAAAAGAGAAATCCTCAACTAGCATAAAAAGCTAGCATAAAAACAGTTATGTTTTATTCTTCTATATTAAAAAGGAAGCATAGTACCAATCAACCCTGCTAGAATTTTGTGCCTGTTGCATCATTTTGCTAAAAGGAATTATTACTGGCCCAATGGGCAACTGTATGACCAATCGCAGAAGGCAAATTCATAAGATGGGTAAATTCATTAAACTGAACAGCACTGATTGAGACCCATCTGAAAAACCTTAAAATGAGTTAGGCTTGCTACTGATTAGAGCCTATTTGCCCATAACATGACCAAACAAATTTTAAAGAGCTAACAACTAGTTATCTTTTTATAATGTTAATGATGGCTTATATAAAGAAAAATACACATTATACTGGGCTGTATTTTTAGTTTTTGAATTTTAAAAATGGTAATCTGTTGTTTAAGGAAGGAAAAAAAGTTACAATTAAGATCCAGTTCTGAGTAACACAAATTTAGAGATTGTTTTAATCCTCTTATTTTAGGTAGCCAATCAGTAGCTTTGAGTTTCAGGTTTCTAAGACTCAAAGTTCACTAATGTGTAAACAACATTTCAGAACCCACACTATTTCAACTGCACAGATAGGCTTTAATGCAAAAAGTGATATTCAGACCTAAAGGAAAACATGGGGCTTTTATAGAAGCTATTACTTTTCTGCTTTGTGACATTCCTTGCAATTACTCCAGGGCTTGGTTTCTTTATCTGGGGGGAATAAAACCCACTTCACAAGACTGACATATTAAATTACATAATGCATACCAAATTTACCTACTAGGCAATAAGAATTCAAACACTGAAGATCTTTCTTCCAATAATGGTACCTGCTAATGTCATTACCTACTGACTTCCCACTAGAATTCAGCACTCTTGCAAATACTTTCTTCCACCCATTGGACATACTAACTAATCCTTTCCTATCACCCCTTCATAGTTATAGTCACTGTTTATAAGATCCTCTCCCAGTTTTGATATAATTGAGGGCCGGCCAAGTGGCGCATTGGTTAAGAGTTGGCTTGGGATGCCAGCTCTGAGCAGCAGGGCCCGGGTTCGGATCCCACGTGAGGGCGAGTGACGATGTGCCTTCTCCAGCAAAGATGGTGAACAACAGCTCTACCTGGAGCTGGGCCACTGTCCAAGGCTGACAAGCGATTGCCTCAGCCTGGAAGAGCGCAATGATAATACCAACACTGGCCAGTGAAGCGACATCCTCCACAACTAGACTGAAGAACATGAGGACAGCAACTTGTCTGTTCCCCTCCTCCGATTCCCCAATGCTGTTCCCCTCCCCCAATAAAACCTTAAAAAAGAAAAAAAGGGAAGGAGATATAATTGATATATACCACTATATAAGTCATAGTTTTTATTCTGTTTTCGGCGTACTTCTACTTCTCAGTACCAGGATCCCTCATTTCAGAAAGATCCTGTTTTACTCCCTCCAGAGAATAAACTACATATTATCTAACCTTCAGATCTCCTAGCATTCCCCTTCTCATCTGACTTGACAAATTTTATAATATAAAGACAATGAATTAAAAGAATTGAAATAAAATAAAACCTACATTTACAGATATCTAGATAATAAATCAATTCTCAAAGTCATGCTAGGCTTTCCCACAAACTATTCTCTCTTCCTAGAAATAGGGTACCATAAACTTTTCACCCAAATCAAGGTACTTGATAGTGAAAGAGAACATTATACTTATGCGAAGACAACATATGTGTAAAATTTGTTTTGGGTACTGCTGGAATGATTTCACCCTTGTCCCAGACCCCTTCTTCCAGCTCAAATCATCCCACTATTTCCACCAGATCAAATCTGTTATTAAAAGGTTTTAAAGCCAGAAGACTTACCAATGTATTGTATTTGTGTAGCTTTTTTGGTATTCACATCAATCCTACCAGAATCATTCCAGATAGTGAGGGGCTGTGTGTTTTGTTTCTAACAGTGCCTGACCCAGCCAAGTTCATAATAGGCTTTCAAATATTTGTTGAATATGGCATTAAGTAATTAATCTATTAGACCTTATGGACTTGCTAGAAAATCATAAACACCTTTAAATTTAAAAAATCTAAAACTACTGTTACAGGCCAGCCAAGTGGCTCAGTTAGTTAAGAGTGCAAGCTCTAAATAACAGGGTAGTTGGTTCGATTCCCACATGGGCCAGTAAGCTGTGCCTGAGCTGAGCTGCCAATGGGGGGCTGGATGGCTCAGCTGGTGAGAGTGCATGCTCTTAACAAGGTTGCCAGTTCGACTCCCATATGGGATGGTGGGCTGTGCCCCCTGCCACTAGATTGAAAGTGGCCACTAGATTTGGAGCTGAGCTGTGCCCTCCACAACTAAGATGGAAGGATAACAACTTGACTTGGAGCTGATGGGTTCTGGAATGTTCCCTTCCCCAATTCCCCAATAAAATCTTTAAAAATATAAAAAAAATAAAACTACTGCTACATGATACTTGACTGTTTTTTAAATTGGTCACCATAATAGTTCAGGTATTTACAGAGCACATTCTTGCGAAAAGACTTAAGATTCATTGGACAGAATTATCCTGTCAATCAGCTATAGATACTATATATTCCACTTGAATGCCATCTTATTTTAATCTACATAAAGCTTACTCATTTTACTGACAAATAACTTAGTTGCTATAGAACCCACTTGTTATAATGAACTAGATGTAGATTATTTTCTCAAATATTTTTTTATGCAACACACCCCTTGGAATCTGCTGGCACAAAATGTTAAACCTTCTGGTTTGTCCCACAGGTCCCTCAGTTTTTGTTCATTCCCAGCTCCCCATCCCGTCTTTTTTTCTCTGTTGTTGTCTGGATAATTCCTACTGACCTACCTTCAAGCTCATTTACTCTTCTGTCATCTCCATTCTACTAAAGCCCATCCAGTTAACTTTTTATTCCAGTAACTCTTTTCTGTTATATTTTAAAGTTCTACCTTCTAGTTCTTTGCCAAGACTTTTTATCTTTCCTTTGTAAGAGTATTCACTCTTATTTCTTATAGTTATAACAGCTGCCTTTAAATTTTGATCTCTATTACCTCAAGGCTGGTGCCTGTTGACTGTCTTTTCCTTTGAGACGCTGAGAATTTCCCAGTCATTCTTATAATTGAGTAATTTATGATGTAGCCTGAACATTTTGATCATGTTATATATAATTTTAAATCTTATTTAAATCCTATGGAGCATGCTGATTTCTAAAAATTGTTTTAGCAGGCAACTGAAATGGTCATAGTTCAGTCTTCAAGTTCTTATCCAACTTCTGTGGGTTATATTACAGTTTCATTTTAGTTAGGAAAGGCTATGCATGCCATGGTATTCAGATCTGTACTGCCTATGTGCTACTCTGATATGCCTTCAACATGCTGTGTAGGGTCAGATCCATACACGAGCAGCTCAAGAGCGTTCTTACATAAATCGTTATGGGATCACTTTCTTCATCTCTCTCCGCGCCATAATTGCCCTGACAACTTCTAGCTTAGGAACAGGAATGGCGTAGCCTCTTGGTTCTCTGGCTAGAAAGCCAAGCAAGTCTTTAGTTTCGCCACTCTGCAGCAGGCTGCCCGTGACTGTCTCTCTTGGGCCAGATGAGGTGATGACAAAGAGGGAAGAGAGCAACAGGAATATCCCTGATGCTATTCCTAGTCTCTCTTAGGATCACAGTTCTTCTGGTCAAAAAAGGGTCCCCCGCCTCCCTTGGAGTTTAGGCATCTGCCTGGTCACAACCACTGCAGGAATCTCTGAGCTGTGGCAGGAGGGGAAAACAAAAAACAAAGTACTACAAAACTAAAAAGGGATTTCCCTGTGCTCTTTCTGATCCAAAAGGGCCCCCTTTCTGTCTCTGCAGACCAGAAAGAGGACCTCTTGAGAGCTCTTTTTGTTTGCACCTGGTATGCAGTTAGTTCTGGGTTTCTGGCAGCCTTTGAGACCACCCCAGGAGATGCCAGAGGAAAAAAAGAAACAGGAAATCATGGTTGTTTCAGTGGTATTTTGAGTCCCAGTTTCCTTTTCCCATTCACCTGCTAACATTTACTTTTCAGTCCTCAGATAGCTAAGCTACTCCATGCATTCGGTCCAGAGCTTTTAGTTGC